TGCAGTCAGCTCTATCACTGTACCCCATGCAGTCAGCTCTATCACTGCACACCCTGCAGTCAGCTCTATCACTGTACCCCATGCAGTCAGCTCTATCACTGTACACCTTGCAGTCAGCTCTGTCACTGCACACCATGCAGTCAGCTCTATCATTGGGGCTGGGGTACGTCCCGTTTTGTTTGGCATTCTCCTTTGCTAAGGGCACCACACCTGTGCCAGGCAAGCTCTTCCGCTGCTCCACTTCCCTTGCAGTGACATTCCATGGAAGTGGGATGTTTCCCTGTGGAGCTGCAGTTGTTTAGGAGCCTGGGATGAGTTCCCGGAGCAGTCTGGTCCTCGGTGCTTGCTCAGTGACCTCCCTGGCGAGGGCAGGGTTAACATCACACCGGGATGTTGTGTGACTGTAATGCTGAGAATGAAACCAGCATTAAGCATGATGCTATTTCTCGAAGTGTTGCTTGACTCTGAAGGCCCTCTGTCTTCAAAATTAAGTAGGTCAATCTCATAATTAAAATACAGCAGGATTGACAATGAGATTGGGGGTTGGTGGTAATATTGGGCAGCTCTGCTGAGACATTAATTAGTACAGTGTCCCTTTTTTATGCATGTTGTGTCAGGTCCAAAACCCCATCTGAATTATGCTCAAAGGTCTTTAAATCAGAGCCTTTTGTTTTCAAAAGGTGCAGTTGCATTTCAGAAGGAAGTCTCTGCCTTTCTTCAAGCAGGTAACAAATATCAGGTAGTTATTCTTCAAACATAGCCTGCATTGAGCCACAGAGCCACCATAACCAGAACACAGTTCCAGTGATTGCCTGGAGAGACACAGCCAAATTAAAGGTTAGGAAAGTCACAGCCAGTGCTGTCAGCTTTCCCTCCAGCTCCTCCTCAAGGCCAGGGAGGCTCTTGGTCCTCTGCACGCTGCAGCAGGGGCTGGTCCCCAGATGTGCTGGGGTGGACAGTAGGGCCTGTCCCTCACCTGCCCTTGGCTGGCCCTGCTCCCTCTGGGGCAGCCACAGCCCAGGGCACTGCCACAGCCAGTCAGTGTTCCCTGCTGGCCTGGGCAAGGACAGGGGGTACCTGTGGTGCCATTTTCCTGGATGGCTGCTTCACTTCATGGAAAGCAGAGACCAGTCCATGCAGCAATAAGGGTTACAGGAAGGAAGATGGCTAATGTGCAAAGGAAGGATGTGAAAGGGAGACAAGCTTCATCTGGTTTAAGTACTTGGTAAGCAGGTAAACCTCGAAATAAGACATTTCCACACATAGAATCATAGAATGGTTTGGGTTGGAAGGGACCTTAAATGTCACCTAGTCCAAGCCCCTACCATGAGCAGAGGCATCTTCTACTAGATCAGGTTGCTCAGAGCCCTATCCAAACTGATCTTGAATGCTTCCATGGACGAGGCATTCACCACTTCTCTGGGCAGCCTGTGTCAGTG